ATTCCCTCCTGGGGAACCATTGTTGCCAGTCCCCAGGTGAGAGCTGGAGATCACTCAGAATTACAACTGCTCTCTAGAAGGGAGGGGGAGGAGATGGAAAGCTGAAGTCAGAGGGGCAGATAAAGGTAGGTTGACAGTTGGCTGGGAGGGAGATAGGCCAACTCCAGGTTGGGAAATTCCTGGAGATTTGAGGAGTGGAGCCTGGAGAGGGTGGGGTTTGAAGGCGGGTGGGACCTCAGACAGGTACAATGTCACAGACTCCACCCTCCAAACCAACCATTTCCTCCTGGGGAACCATTATTGCCAATCTCCAGGTGGGAACTGGAGATCACTCAGAATTACAACTGCTCTCCAGGAGAGGGGGCAGTCAGAGGGGCAGATAATGGTAAGTTTATGGTTAGCTGGGAAGGAGATGGGGTTGCCAACTCCAGGTTCAGGGATTCCTGGAGATTTGAGGAGTGGAGCCTGGAGAGAGTGAGGTTTGAGGAGGGGTGGGACCTCAGACAGGTACAATGCCATAGACTCCACCCTCCAAACCAGCTATTTCCTCCTGGGGAATCATTGTTGCCAATCTCCAGGGGAGGACTGGAGATCACTCAAAATCACAACTGCTCCGTTCTTTAGACTTCCTTCCTGAAAATGGATACATGCCCCACACTTTCCACAGTGAACACAGAAACAAAAGGGCATTGATCTTCTTTGCCATCTCCCCATGTCCCTTTAGCAATCCCTTTATTCCTTTGTCATCCAAAGGCCGCACTGCTTCTTTGGCTGGTTTCCTGCTCTGGATATATTTTTTTAAAATGTTTACTGTTTGTCTTGATGCTTTTAGCAATACATTACTCAAAGTATCTTTTTGCATGCCTAATCATTGACTTTTATTTCTTTTGCCAGAGCCTGTGGTCCCTCTTGTTCAATTCACTGGGGCAGACCACCCACTGTTAAAAAGATGCCTCTTTACTTTTTATCACTCCCTTGACTTGCATTATGAACCACACAGACCTTCCTTTAGACTTGACAGTGCCTTTCCTAACCTGTGGAATGCATTCTATCTGGGCTTTCATTAGTGTGGTTTTAAATAGCTTCCAAGCATCCTCTAGGGATCAGACTCTCTTGTGTTTCCTCTTCAGCTTCCTTTTTACTATTCCTCTCATGTTTATAAAGTTAGGATCATAGAATCATAGAGTTAGAAGGGAGCTCCGGGGTCATCTAGTCCAACCCCACACACAATGCAGGAAATTCACAAATACCCCCCCTCTTTTGAAAACAAATGTTACAGTTTTGGACTTTAGGAGTAACTTTCCATTGACCTGAATGCTGAACTTAACAGCATTGTGCTCACTGTTCCCAACTGGCGTAACAACCTCTACATCTCTCACCAAGTCTTGAGACCCGCACAAAACCAAGTCCAAGGTTACTACCCCTCTGATTGGTTCTCTGACCACCTGTTCCATTGCACAGTCATTTATGATATCTAGGAATCTCATTTCTACAGTATGACTCAAGCACACATTTACCCAGTCAATGTAAGGCTAGTTGAGTCTCCCAGTATAATAACATTATCTGCTTTAGTCACCTCCCTTATTTTCTTCTCCATCTTAAGATCAGCCTCAAGGGTTTGATCAAGTGGGGGATCATACACCCCAACCTTTAAGTATTTCCACCAATATCACTTCTGTTGGGGAGTTGATTCCCCTGTTTTCTAACTCATTGGATTCTATGCCCTTTGATGTACAATGCACTACCAACCCGTCCCTCCCTGTCCTGCCTACAGAGCTTATTACCCAATGACTGTATCCCATAGATTTTCTCCATCCCACCATGTTTCTGAGATACCTACTATATCTAAATTGTCATTGAACACCAAGCACTCCAGCTCCCCCATCTTGGCTTGGAGACTTCTAGCGCTGGCTCATAGACACCTTTCTCTCTCCAGTGACCCTTGCCTCCCTCGAACCCTTTAGTTGCCACACATGGCCCTCAGTTGCCATTGTGTCCTCACTCCCAAGCTCTATTAAGCTCCAATCAATATTACCCTGAGTGTTTATGCAATCATTCCTTTGGACTGACTTGTCTCGAACTGGAGGCTCCCCAGGTCCTGTCGGTCCCCCCTCCTGGGATTAGTTTAAAAGCTGCTCTGGCACCTTTTTTGATATTAGTGGCCAGCAGCCAGCTTCAACTGAAGGCCGTCTCTTTTGTACAGGTAGTTCTGCTCTTCTACTATTCACAGCGTCACTAGGGAAACCCACTAAAGGAGGAAACAACCAAAGGGACTGAAAATAAGGCACAAACTTGGACTTCCTCATAGATATATGTAAAACTCTGGCTGAAGGGGCCAGCCAACTAATCCATTCTCCTCTCCTACCTCACAGTGACAGCACTAATTCTGCCCAAGACATCACTCACACATTTGTTCAGCTTATTTCTATAGGACCAAATCATGATTCTACACTCTTGATAGTTCATTCCACTGCACAAGAAATCTTTTGTTAAGCAAGTTTTCTAATTTCTTCTCTTTCTTCTTCCAACCGAAACCATTTAAGTTGTTGATGTACATCCTCCCACCTACTCCCTTTTCCTGAGAATAACTTTAAAAAAAAGATAAACTGCATCTATCTACTAAAATTCTCCTGAGTGCATTCAAAACAGTTAAAGAACAAACCATCAGGTAATACTGCTTATGGACTTTCAAAGTTCCTTTAAGCAAGTCTTTGCAAAAGGCTTCTAAGAGAAAAAAACTTGCTGTAGGGGAAAAAAAGACAGCCTTACTCATGAATTATTTGTTATCAGCTCCTCAGAGGGTGTGAAGCCATGTGTGAAATAAATACTGAAAAATGAAAAACAATCTCCAATGAAAGAAATCTGAACTATTCATAAACTGCAAGTCTTAGGGAGATAAGCAGAATTACTGAGTTGACTCTACTTGACTAACAACACTGCCTCCTACCAAGTATGTTTAGGACATATATGGACTAGGTAGACAAAAAGGAGTCAGATAAGGGGTACGGAGCAACAGAAAAACCTTAATCTTGTATATCATAGCTGCAGGTGGGAAGCCATGTTGGTCTGCAGTAAAAAGAGCTACATTCAAGTCCACTGGCACCTCAAAGATCAACAAGATTTCCAGGGTTTAAGATTTCAGTCAAAGTTCCTTTCATCAGATATCTGACAAACATTGATTCTCAAAACCCTGGAAATCTTGTTGGTCTTTAAGGTGCTACTGGACTTGAATCTAGCTCCTAATCTTTTGTATCATGTGACTAAGACTGCTAGCACAGCAGCATAGAACTTGAACTGCAGGTCCTAGTCTGATCTTTAAAATCCTAAAACTTCAGTTGTGTTATATGCCATAAAGATCACCACAACCAGCATATTTGTTAAAGGTCAAAATAAAAATACCAACATGCAAAGAAATTTTATACATTGAATACTCACAATCATCTAAAAAAGAGATAATATGAAATGTGTTTTTTCAAGGGCTAGTGTAGTCAAAACAGTGGTAACAAGCTTATCAGAAGTCTTGAAAAAAAGTTAGTATTTCAGCAACAGCCCACCAGTAGCCATTCCAAGAGACCCAAGGGAATATTTGTGAGATGATAAATAGATTAAATGCTGTGATACCGTTCATTAATCATACAGTAGAATTAATTAGTGATACAAAAACTACAGGGGCTGTGTATGTAAAAGGTAGATCACCAGTATTCACAATGCAGCCCACAATCCTCATAAATACTGGTTCAACAGCTCTTTCTTGCAGACTTCATGACAAGTACCACAGAGCTTACAGTGGTGAAACCTATTGGCATTAAAGAATTTCCCCCTTTCATACAACATTATTACTTTGCATGACTTAATTTTTGATTGAATTAAGCAAAATAAAGAATTCCTTTATTTCTATGTACTACTAATAAAAGAAAAATTAGCAAAAGATAACGGCTTAGATCCTGCTGAGAATTTGCACAGGTGATTTGCACAGATTCTCCCACAACAGCTCAAAACACCCCCTGAAAAACTGGTCTTGGGGTGACATAGGACACCCAAGAATAATTTCAAGGGAAAGTTAGACCTGTCCCATGCCCACACAAATTCCAGACAGGATCCAAGCCAACATCTTATATAATCTCTGAATGTGTATTACCACATAATATACAGTATTTTCAACGGCTATGACATATCATTTTTTTATTTACTTCATTTGTACTCTGCCTTCCTCTCCAATGGGAACCCAAGAGTGCTTACATCATTCTCCCCTCCTCCATTTTATCCTTACAACAACCCTGTAAGGCAGGTTAGGCTGAGAGAGTGTGACTGGCCCAAGCTTACCCAGTAAGCTTCCATGGCACAAATGGGGATAACCCGGGTCTCCTAGATAGTAGCCTGACACTCTTAATCACTACACCACACTGGCTCAGAATTGAATTAACAGTTCATGGAATAACAGAAATTAACCTTGACATCAAAAGTTCTGAAAACTGTGGCTGTGTGCATACACGACCACACACACACAGAGTTACTGCAGATTTAGAAATAATCAAGGTATCAAGTTTGTGGAAAACAAGTGAGACATTATAAGATTTTGACCCTACACTGATTTCAACAGAGCATTTGATGGTTGTACATATGCTTCTTCTTATACAGAAATAACTGGCTAGAGAGTTTCATAGCTGACCACAAACTTAAGAAAAGTAAGCAACACAATGCTATTAGAGTAATCACATCCAAATGAAAACACAAAACCATAATGTATGCTCTAGAAACACTACTCTAAGCACTGATAAGGTCGCCTCTAGATGGGTGTCCAGTCCTCTTCGCAAGAAAAGAAAATCTACAGATAATTTAAGAATCCATGAAAAACACAAAATCAAATTATAATAAAGGTATAAAATTTCTAGATATATTTAGTCAAAAACCAAAGACATTAGACCCACTAAAGCATAATACTTCCAGGCATCACCCCAAAACACAGAAATAATATGATATGGAATTTTTGGCACACTCACCATTCAGCCGGGTCTGCCTGTTTGCTCTCACTCGGAGAAAGGTCTGGGGGGGGGGGGGGGGGGAGAGAAAAAAGTGCATTAGGATCTTGCCAGTGAAAAACAGTAAAATGACTTATCTCATTCTTATAAACAATCTTGAAACAGACTTCAAGAAACACACAACTAACTCCATCTATCACACAAATTCACCTTTCCTGGAATACTTCCCTTTACTATCTTTGTTCAAACCACTAGCACTATTAAACCCTCTATCAACTTCTTCCAACCAATACAGAAAAACCCAAATTTCCACTTCCTCACATTAAACCCAAACACCAGAAACCCCTTCCTGTAAACAAACATTACTTAAATTCCCTGCTAGGCTCCTGAACCATTCCCCTACATCATAAACACTCAGCAACAACCTAAGAACGGGCCGATATGCACTGGACTACCCAATTCTATAGCTACAATATTTCCATACAAACCAAGATTTCTCTTATCTTTCTGTACATCAATGATACATAACCCGTCCGTGGTCTGGTCAGTTCTGCTCCCCCTTTCCGTGTGCCCCCCCCCCCGATCTAAATGAACGGTTCTCATCTCGTCAAGAAACTGCCCTTCCCATTCACATGAAAACACCCCCTCCCCCGTTTGTCCTTTAGATGTAAACAGACCACTCCCGCCTTAAGGTGGACGGCCCAGCCCCCCGGTTTGGATGTAAACAAACCCCACTCCCTCCCGTAGCTATAACCGGCTCTCGCGGAGGGACGCCCCTTCTCCTTATATGTGCCCCGCCCGCACCTCCTCCCGGCCACCGGGCTCTCTCCTCTCGTTCTGCATGTCCGGGGATGAAGGCGGATGCAGGCAGCGGCCCCGGCACCTGCGATCAACTCCCAGCAACAGCGGCCGCCGCCATGTTTGTTTCAATCATGTGACGAGACGTCGCCGCGGCCTACGCGGGGTGAGAGTTCAGTAGGAAGTTGTTGTTCTCATAGCAACCGCCAGGCTTAGAGCGATTTGGAATTCGGGGTCTCCTTTACCACGTGGCCGTCCTCAAGCTGATAATGTCAATACCACCTTTTCTGTCTAAGGCGAGGCAATCTCCGTAAACCATCTCCGAAGCAACACCGGGTCGCTACATGGTTTGAATTCCAGAAACGTAGCTATTGCCCCGCGACCCAACAACTGAGCAGCAGGGCAACATCACCAGTCCTTTCTCCTCATAGGAGGGACTCCTCTCGTCGGAGAGTTTTGGGATTGCCCTCGCCCTTAACTGTTGCCTGTACTTTGAAGTGCTGCACATAAGAACTTTGTCTGGTGTGACTTCTCCCGTCGCTGCAGCATTGTAGGGGTGGGAGAGAAGATGCACCAGGTAAAATTCTCAATTTTCTGCAACTGATTAAAATATAGGAGTGCTTTCAGGATCTAAACCTGTGGCAGCTCTACTGTAACTACCTAGGTTCTGGCAAAAGGAAGCCAACTCTCTGTTCTGCATCACTATGATGACTGTCTTCCAGATTTGTTTACACAACAAGGAATCACCTAATTTGGAATGCTAAGCCTATAAAATTGTAGCAGTGGTAGAGATAATGACCAAGAACTGACAATCCAGACACACTCAAGAGGCTAGCTCCTTACACAAGTTGCAGTAAGTTGGAAATGCATCCTCTTTGTATAACTATCTCCATTCAGAAAGATGTCCCTTGATACTGTGATAACAAATGCTTTAGATTTTCTTGTACATAATGATAACTGGAGTATCCAAGAAACTGAGTGTGTGCAGTAAGGGTCTTTAAAAAACAAAAAGTGTGTAAAGCACTTTTCTGAATTTCTGTATTTGTAGTAATAATTATAGCAACTGGAATGGCAAAATATATATTCTAGTTCAGTAATCATTTAGATTTAAGGAATCTGGACAGAGTCTGAGAGCATTCAGGTCTGGTGAACAGCTCTCCATAAGAACAATATGAAAATAAATATATTTCCAAAAACAAAATTGTACTTGATAAATGAATTATTTGATTATTTTATGGCTTTGAATGCAGTCAGTGGCTGCAAGAATAAATCTGGCCTTTAGGGTGTTAACCAATGTCAAGATCCTGCGTATACTTAGGGAAATGCTTCAATTTGATCTGATAAGCAATCCTGCTGAAGCCATCCAGACTCTGCAAATGTTTAAAGCCAAATGTGTGACAATGTTGCAGGTCTAAGGCCTCAATTGCTACCCCCCAAACCCTTTAAAATCCATGTTTCCTCCTCCTAGACCTCTGAATTATTTCATTATATTGCACTCCTATGATTTCTCTCTTTAAGTCTCATTTGTACATCAGGGAGGGCTGCAATACTTTACAGTCTTTTTTTTTTTTTAAGAATGTAGGGGAGAAGATTGATCTATGTAGTGTTCATTCTTATATTTCTGTCTTCCTTATAGCTGCCTTGAGGGTAGGATTATTTTATAACAACTTACTTTTTTGGATGAAATCAGTGGCATAGTTAGTCTAAGGACATTTACTAAGGCATAAGTTACATTAAACGCAAGTAGAATTTACTTCTGAGTATACTTGTCTAGAGTTGTTAATTCTTTTCCTATTTACATTCACTCTAGTACACTCTAGTTCCTATTTACATTCACTCTAGTAGTTGTATTTAAGACAGGTATACACAGATGTAGATGTTTCCAAGTTTCTGCTTTCCCATTACTTTTTCTTACCAGTACCATTATATGTACTGTTTTTCACACTGTATATGTTCACACTGATTTTAAAGTACAAACTGCAAACACCTTACACTCCTGATCAACTGCTATTAACATTACATAAATGTTGAGATACTGTTTGGATGCTGAAATAGTAGTAAAATATATATTACTGAGTTTTTGAGGAGAGAGTGAAAAGGCAGTCTGCTTGCTTCAGACTGCTTGCTTTAAGCAGTCTCGGCTGGCAGCTTCGTTCTAGTACGCTGAACTTGCTATGTGAGTGTTTTATTAACCTCTTGTTTAGAAGCTTTATCCACATTATCGGATGCACTTGAGTTGCCAACGGACTATTCCTCAGTGACTCTAGCAAGAACCTGGCACATCACAATTTACTAGTCTTCGTCTTTCTGGGTGCAAAATGCTGTAACGTATCTTAGAGTTTAGGGGGTACTACAGGGAATTCTTTCACACTCTACTGTTTAAGCACATCTTCCAAGAATATTTGTGTTAAGAATTTGAGTTGAAAGACTGAAGAACAGGGCTTATAAAAACTAGCCAGAGCAAACCTGAAAAAGCATGTATTTTGTGCATCCCTATATATACTTGTGGCAAAATGAGTGTGTGTAATAAAAAGCAGATAATGCTTCAATAATTTTAGTGATTGTACTTTGAAACAGTAGCAATATTTGCAGAAGCTGAAGTGGTTGTGTACCAGTATATTTCTAGAAAAAGCCATAGCCTACTCACTCTGCTAAAGGTAGGATATAAATGGGCTGAATAATCCCCCCCCCCCCCCCCGCTCTGGGATCCAACTACCTAGAGACATAGTAAGATCTGATTTTTAATGGGTTTTTCTGCAGGCAGATTGCACTCTTATGAAGCTGCTACACTCTACTTACTGCCCAAAATCCTTGTCTAGAATACAGGGGCCTGACTGTCTAGTGCTGAGCATCCTCATTTCATATTTATTACAGTGAAAAATAGGAATTTCCTATATTGTCTAGGATCTGACCTAAATTGATTTTCTGTGTTAGAGAAACAGATGCTAATACACTTCTTAACTGGCACTGTCCCCCCCCCTTTTTTAGTAAAGAAACAGTCATGTCATTAATCCTATTCAAACACATAAGACTGGGAAGAAAGGACATGAAGTAAAAATTCCATTTTCAAAAGCTGTGCTGCCGTTCTTATGTTACTTAAAAAAAAAGATTAATGCAGCCAAAACCACTTCAAACATCTCATTTACCTACCTCCATCTCTGCTTTCCTTCATTCCCACTACTCAACTACTCTGACTTTAGCATTTTCCTAACTTGATCATTCAAAAAATGTAACTGTCAGTTTCATTTCTTATCTCTAGAAGCAATATAAGGCTCCAGGGTCTGAATTGCAATTGCAAAGGGGAAGATTCCAGTTGCAACAGAATCTGTTCCCTTTCTCTTCTGCTCAATGCCACAAAGGTATCTGTACTAGGGTCAAGATGTACATATCATTGGAGTCCCATGATTAGAACTCACAACATGGTTTGGGGACCAATAAAACAGGTGATAGGTATGTGATATGGATTAAGGTCCAGTCCTAGAGAAGGTTTTAACTTGTTCCTCCACACCACTTCCCCAGTTGAAAATTCTTCCTTGGGCCACTTTTAGCCCTGATAACAAAAGAAAAGGAAAGATACCTATTTTGTGCCTATCTCCTTTCTCTAAGAGAGGTAAAAGCATTGGGCAAGGGGAATTTTCATTCAGAGAAACAATGCAGGGGACTGGAAGAGTAAAAAAAAATTCCTTCCACAGCCCAATTCATATCAGAGCTCCTATAGCTACATTTTAGGGCCAAATAACTCATTTGGTGCCGCAGAATTCCAGTATCATGTATTGTTTGAGCCTTTTTCTCATTTTAATCAAATATAGGTGAGAACGTATGGCACTTGATTTAAATCTGTACATAAATAATGTAAGTAATGATCAGGGGTCTTGTTGTAGAAAAAGAGCTGCCGGAGCTCATTAGCATAACTCATTAGCATAACTTATTTGCATATGCCATGCCCCCTGACATCACCGGAAGTGACAGAAGGCCACACCCCCTGACATCACCGGAAGTGTGTCAGAAGGCCCGGCTACTTACCCTCCTGCTTCATCCTCATTCCCAAACGGAATGAGGATCGAAGCAGAGGGCGGGGTAAAGAAGGGGGCGGGGCTTCACCACGTGACCGCCCCGCCCCCTAGAGGTTCTCTTCCGGAGCTCCGTACCTGAGAGCTCCCCCCCGACTAGAGCCCTGGTAATGATGTATTTCCTTTTTCTGTGGAGAAGGTAGAACTGAATGGGGGGAAACCTAGCTACTGATTTTTAGGCATGCAGCCTGGACTAAATAAAGTTAAATTGGTATTTTTCTATGAGACCAAATGCAAGCACTGTTTTTACTGTGCATTCGTGTCAGAATTACTTGGTCTAGTTGTTCCACCTTTAATTCCCTAAACGCTGAAAAGTGCTGTTTGAGAATTGTCCCTTCAACACTAGTTCAAAAAGCAGATAGAGGTGAAGTTTCTGAGCACAGATTTGAATAGATCTCTGCTCCATGCTACGTCCAGTCACAAATTTGCCTGAACAGTTCAACTTGCTTTTTTCTATCACAAACTGCCTGACACACTTATCCATGAGACAGCAGGACCGATTGGCTGTTGAAGTTATGTACTTTCCCCCCTACTGTAATACTGGTGGATGTGACCCAATGAAGAGACATCAGCTGACTGGTCCATATTTTGTACATAGGCAAGACTTTGGGAGTTGTATGCCACAATGAAAAAGAAACAGCATCAGAGAGCAAAATAATTCTTGTTCCAAACACTATAGGTGGAGCTATAGTCAACCAGAACTTTTCAGCTCTATATGTTTATTTATGCTGAGTTCAATAGGGCTTATTCCCCCTAAGTGTTAGTAGGACTATACCCTTAGATTGAGCAAAATACATAAATGCAGCTAGACTGCAATCCTAAAACATTTTCCTGGGAATAAGCCCCACTGAATAAAATGGGACAACATCTAAGTACACCTTCTTAGACTTGCTTATTCATATTTTGAAGAGAGGAGGAAATCCTGATGTTTGGGTACTCCTCCTAGAATTCCTGGAAGCAGGATATTAGGTCATTTTCTTCCTGCCCCTGAGGAGAGGAGTGCCTCTTTCAGTTCTTTTCCTGCTTCCTCTGCATGTGCTGGACTCAGAGGCACTCCGATT